AGATTTAGTATTGGCTGCAGATAAAGTACTAATTGTTGGTGATTTTAATATACATGTAGATAATGAAAAAGATGCTTTGGGATTGGCATTTAAAGACATTGTAAACTCAATTGGAGTTAGACAACACGTGTCAGGACCTACTCATTGTCGTAATCATACTCTAGATCTAATATTATCACATGGAATAGATGTTGATGCTGTTGAAATTCTGCAGCAGAGCGATGACATCTCAGATCATTATCTAGTCTCATGTAAATTACATTTAGCCAAGGCTGCAAAGCCGACTCCGTGTTATAAATACGTTAGACCTATAACTTCTGACACTAAAGATTGCTTTATCAATAATCTTCCTAATCAGTTTCATCATCTCAGCATCCCGGATAGCTTAGAAGAACTTGATATTGCAACAGAAACGTTTAACTCTCTCTTTTCCAGCACTTTAGACGCAGTTGCTCCGTTGCGCTTAAAGAAGATTAAAGAAAATAGTCCAACGCCGTGGTACAGCGAGCACACTCAGGCCCTTAAGAGAGCAGCCAGAAAAATGGAGCGCAACTGGAAGAAAACTAAACTAGAGGTATTTCGGATTTCGTGGAAAGAGAGCTTGATTGCTTACAGAGAGGCTTTAAAAGCTGCTAGATCTGCTTATTTTTCAAACCTATTAGAAGAAAATAAACATAATCCTAGGTATTTATTTGAAACAGTGGCTAAACTAACGAAAAAGAAAGCTTCAAGCTCAGAAGTGTCAAAGCAACACGGCAGTGATGACTTTATGAACTTCTTCACTTATAAGATTGATAATATCAGGGACAAAATTATAACTATGCAACCGTCTACCACAGTATCGCATCACGAAGTGCATTGTAGTCTCCCTGAGGAAAAATTTTATTTATTTGTTGCTATAGGAGAGGAAGAATTCTGCAAACTCGTTAATTCATCTAAATCGACAACTTGTATGTTAGATCCTATACCGACTAAGCTACTGAAAGAGATGCTTCCAGAGGTCATAGATCCTCTTCTTAATATCATTAATTCATCTTTGTCTCTAGGATACGTACCAAAAACCTTTAAACTGGCTATGATAAAACCGCTTGTTAAAAAACCACAACTTGATCCTACAGAATTAGTCAATTACAGGCCGATCTCGAATCTGCCTTTTCTGTCAAAGATATTAGAAAAAGCAGTAGGCTATCTTCACAACTATGTTCCTTTCTAGAAAGAAATGATATCTGCGAGGATTTTCAGTCCGGATTTAGACCGTACCATAGCACTGAGACCGCTCTCATTAGAGTCACAAATGATTTGCTCTTATCATCCGATCGTGGTTGTATCTCTCTATTAGTGTTACTCGATCTTAGTGCTGCATTTGACACCATTGACCACAACATTCTTTTAAATAGAAGAGATGTCTTATCGATCACAAGTTCAGTATGGCGTACCACAAGGCTCAGTACTAGGACCGCTGCTGTTCACTCTGTACATGCTACCATTAGGAGATATCATTAGGAAACATGGAGTTAGCTTTCACTGTTATGCCGATGATACTCAGCTGTATATTTCTTCAAAACCCAACGAAACTTACCAATTCACAAAATTAACGGAATGCATAGCTGATATAAAAAATTGGATGACTAGTAATTTCCTACTACTAAATTCTGAAAAGACAGAGATTCTAATTATTGGACAAAAAACTTCCACACGTAATAACCTAGAATACTGTCTAACACTTAATGGCTGCTCTGTCAAGTCTTCGTCGTCGGTTAGGAACCTGGGTGTGCTATTTGATACCAACCTTTCTTTTGAAAGCCACGTGTCTAGTATCTGTAAAACTGCATTTTTCCATCTTAAAAATATATCTAAAATACGCCATATGCTCTCATTGGGAAATGCGGAACAATTAGTCCATGCGTTCATGACCTCAAGGCTAGATTATTGTAATGCTCTACTGGGTGGTTGCCCTGCACGCTTAATAAACAAACTACAGCTAGTTCAAAACGCCACAGCTCGAGTTCTTACCAGAACCAGGAAATATGACCATATTAGCCCGGTTCTGTCAACACTGCATTGGCTCCCTATTAAACATCGTATCAATTTTAAAATATTGTTGATTACCTACAAAGCACTAAATGGTTTAGCTCCGCAGTACTTTAGCGAGCTCTTAACGCATTATAGTCCTTCACGTCTATTGCGATCTCAAAATTCCGGCCAGTTGATAATACCTAGAATATCTAAATCGACTGCTGGCGGTAGATCCTTTTCCTATTTAGCACCAAAACTCTGAAACAGTCTTCCTACCATTGTCCGGGAAGCAGACACACTTTGTCAGTTCAAAGCTAGACTAAAAACACATCTCTTTGACCTAGCATACACATAATACATTATAGACTTCTATAAATTCAATGTTAGGCTGCATAGATTAGGTCAGCCGGAACTGGGAACACTTCCCTTAAATCTTGATGTACTCGCTACATCATAAGAAGAATGGCATCTACGCTAATATTAGTGTCTTTGTTTATCCTGAGGTTTTCCCGCAGCCTGCCGGATCCAGGCAGTGTCCAGATCTGACGAGGGAGCTTTGCCTGGACCCGATGACAATGCAGTGCTGAAGTATCCACTATCCTCTCCCTATGGAGCATCCCTTTCCCACTCTACAGATAAAGCGTTGTGAATTCCGGCTCGCGTACCCCGAAGTGATAAAATAAAACAAAATTCTGTATCAAAATTTATAGGCAAGAAAAGTAGTTTGTTTAGGCTGGGTTGTATGAATTACAAACCTGCACACATATTTTAAAAAGCACATAACTATAGAATTCTGAATGAACATGTGAACGCCGTCAGCGTTAATCACGGGTTCGCGTTTAAAGTCTGATCATTTCGACGGAGGTGAATCAATCAAAGTTAACTTTAGCTGGAAGTAACATTATTCAAGAACCGCTATAACGCCAAAACAATCTGTTACCTTAAATTATATGTTTATCTCTGTAAAGCTGCTTTGAAACAATCCATTGTTAAAAGCGCTATATAAATGAAGATGACTTGACTTGACTTGACGGCGTTTTACACTGTGTTCCCCTAGCGTAAGATATTACACAGTACGAGAGAACCTCTCGTAAGAGAACATACTCGGTTACTAACGTAACCTTGGTTCTCTCTAGAAGAGGGAACGAGTACTACGTATCTTTGCCGTGCCTGCAACACGCTCTGGTTCCAGATTATATCAGCCCATCGAGCTATGTTTATAGGCCCAGGCCACGCCCGCTTGGGCGGGAGGTGACGCAGTGGGCGTGAAGCGCCCCCATTGGATCTGATGTCACCAAGGGCCTCTCTCGATAGGCTGCTGCAGTTGCTGCAGGACAGCCAATAGGCACGTGAGCCGCCTTGCCTATGTCTGCATGCTGCCGCAACGCGTTTTACATTAATTCAAAATTAAGGATAATTTTTGGCTTCAATATCTCGTGGAAAAGAGGTTTTCCCCTAGCGTAAGATATTACGAACCGAGGGAGAGAACCGAGGTTATGTTAGTAACCGAGTATGATTTGCTCTGCAAATTAGTCTGGCAAAGAGCTCATTCAAGCCCATTTCTAATCCGTCGAAATCGCGGCACCAATCAGAAACGTTGGGGCGGGCTTTACACAATGACACAGCGACGGTGAAGCAGATTTTGTACATTTACAAAGATGGATGCCGCCGTGGAACTAGGGGTGTAAATTTTTATCATAGTCAGAGAATGTTTAAATACTAATATCAGCTTACGAGGGAAACGGAGGAGGAGTTAGTGGTGCTTCGGAGGCTGCTACTGCTGGAGATGATTCGGGAGAGGTCTGTGCACCCCCTCACAAGAAGAGAAATCTTGGAGATCTCTTTAATAAACGGCGGTCTGAAATCTCTGCCCCTTTACCGATCAGAGCGCGCGCTGACACGGAGTAAAGCCTTGTTTATACTCAACGCGTCCGCACCTATGGTCCGCACGAGTGCGAAGGTGCGCGCGGCAAAAATGACGCGTTCGGTGCGCAAGACCCCATTTCGCTTGGCTGTGTGCGGCTTTTTTTGTAACAGCGCGCGCGGTGCCGCGTCCGAGGATGAACGACTTCAAGCTGAATCTGCCCGAGCATGTAGCCTACATCTCACCACACCGGCACCCAGTTTGCGCGTCTAAATTGTAAAGTTCATTGCAAAGTTTTTTTTGTTAAGGTTTTGTTTACTGTGTGTGATTTATTTAATGGAAAGCACATTCACTTCTAGTTGTCTTGCTGTTAATTTTAAATAAACGTAGAGCAAGTAGCTAATCAGTGTCAGACGAACGTCGCTCTGCATACGTCATCTCCTTCATCGCTCTGATTGGTTTTAGGTCTATCCAATTGCGCCCAGAGGCATTTGAGCTACGTCCGTTGGTGACGCCCCTTTGGAAATGATTTGTCTATGAAGCTTTGCCAGACCATAACTCAGTTACAACTGAGAATGGTCTGGTTTTAACCAGGCTATGTGAAACCCCTCCCCTTCCAACCCCAGATTTGTGTCAGTTAAAAAAAATAAAATTAAAATTAAAAACATATATACATAACCAATAGGTAATAGGTTAAGAGTAGTGGAAGTTGCTTAATAATGCCTTGATTTAATAGATATTATTATCTTCCACAATCTTGTGTATTATCAAAGATTACCAGAAGTTTTTCCAGTATCTCATTGGTTTTGTCAAATAAATTTGATTAAGTTGAGTTATTCCACAGAAAAGAAAAATAGACACATTTTGAAATGTCCAAAAACATTCATTTAAGTAAACACAGAGTAGGCATGAATTTCTTTATATATTACAAGTCATTCATTTAAATTACTAAGGCAAGCTGGTCCTTGAAATGAAAGACCTATACATGAAATATGAATATGGCATTTTGATGTTTATAACAGCTAACTCATTTGAAACACTAACAAATGCATTTACTGTGCTACACAAAACAAAACTTGATCACTTAAAGCAAAACACATTTGAGAAATAAATATAACCATTTAACAGTAAAACATTCCTTACTGGAATGGGATTCATTTGAGACCTTATAAAAAGGTAATTAAGCCAATAGTTTATCAAGTGTAAATATAAAATCTGACCTGAAGTTAATGTACAAACTCTCCAAGACTTTTGGCAACAAAGTATCCTCTTGCAATTGACTTATAACTCATGATACTTCTCACAGATTTTAACTGAGTGGTTTTAACTGTATTGACACTATAGTCATGAATGGTATATTCAGACTATTAAGATCATAAAATATATTTCTAAGGAATATCCTTAAATTCAGAAATTATTTACACTATCTCAGAGTAAATGAGATTAAATCATACTGTACAATTGTAAATGAACAAGGCTCATTCGTCTTTAAAACATCAGTAAATATACTGTGCTGCTCTGATCCCTATTAAGAAATTCCTACAAGAGACTCCAGAAGATTGACTCCTGAGTCCTCAATTTGAGCGGGACTGAGACAACGGGGGAACTGGAGGTGTGAGATGTAGTCCATATGACTGCACTCTTGATTGTGGCTTGGACGGTCACCGTACTCATGAAAAGTGTCAAAAAAGACCAGGTCAGAGTCTGAGGAAAGACTGAGGTCCATGTAACAATTCACGGTGTGATCCGGAGATGCAGAAGGTGTATTGGGGATGTCGAAGGTGTCGTTTATACATTCCATTGTGGCCTGATTAGCATTTTCATCCAGATACTCCAATTGAGATGTACTGATTCTACTTTCCTTTGTGGATGTGACACCAGCAGCTTCTGTGGACAAATCATACTCTTTAACATATGGACATCCCTTCCCATCTGAATCAGAAAAACTGAGAATGTGAGTGAGTCCAGTGTCATCCCCGTTCAGTGTGGGTCGCTCAGAGGAAGGCCTTGCGTCTGTCTCAGAGTCCAGACTCAGAGAAGAAGAGCAGGAGTAGTCAGTCATGTCAGTGCTCCAGCTGTTGTCTCCCTGCCTGCAGAGCTCTGAGCTCAGGTGGAATGAGGGAGAGTCTTTTTCTACTGGAAATGTAATGGCTCTGTTCCTCGCCAATGATTGTTGCTCTGTGGCGATCACTCTGTTGTCATTGAGCAGCCTCTTTTCCAGCTCCAGCTTCATGTGTGTGTGGATATAGTGGCTCCGTACATGACTGGAGTTAAACTCGATTCGGCCTGCAGGATTCCCACAGCATTCCTTTGAACATCCACAAGGAAAGTTGGAGCGATCCATCTGTTAACAGATTATATATTTATAATAATTATATCAAATTGTATATATATATATATAAACAATACAGCAGCATAACTACTTGCTGTCCATAAGAAATAAACATCATTGATGAGATTTAATATTTCAATGAGATTAGATGGAGGGTTTTTCAGATTTTTAAGAATTTTAAGAAAAGAAAAGGGATTTTTAATAGTATTTTTTAAAGAAATTAATACTTTTATTCAGCAAGGATGCATTAAAGTGATCAAAAGTGATAGTAAATACATTTATAATGTTACTAAAGATTTCTATATCTATATAGATTTTTATATTTCTTAAAATAAAAGCTGATCTTTAGAACTTTCTATTCATCAAAAAATCCTGAAAAAAAGTATAATGTAATTATAAAAAATATCAAGCAGCACAACTGTTTTCAACATTGATAATAAGAAATGTTTTTTGAGCATCAAATCAGCATATTAGAAAGAATTCTGAAGGATCATGTGACACTGAAGAATGGAGTAATGATGCTGAAAATTCAGCTTTGCCATCACAATAAATAACATTTTAGAATATATAAAAAAAAAACAGTTCATTTAAATTGTAATAATATTTCATAATATTACAGTTTCATTGTATTTTTGATCAAACAAATGCAGCCTTGTTAAGTATAAGACTTCTTTCATAAACATTTTAAAAATCTTACCGACCCTAAACTTTTGAAGACCAAATTATTGTATAGCTCTATTGTCTTACTGTATGTCAAAAATTGTCTCATTTAGGTCTATTTTTAATCTGAGACTAAATTTATACCTAAATGAAATATAGCTGAGAGCTCCAATAAATCTCCTGAGCAATGAAAAATCATTTGAGCAACAAAATATCAATAAAACAAAGGCGCTATCATTAATGAAAAAATGAAAACAATAATTTATTTATTTATTATTACTTGACACTTGATGCCAGCCTGGCTGCAGGCGCAGGTCTCCGGCTCACAGAAGCCTTGGCAGTGGCATCCACAGTCTTCCCTCCACCGCCGCAGCTCCTGCAGCTGCCTCTTCTCCTCCCGGTCGATTCGCACAACTCCTGCTGCTCTCAATAACGCACGTCTGCGTTTGGAAGAGTAAGGACGGAGGGATCCCATATCCTTGAGCTCTGTACTACTGAGATCCTCATCTTCATCTGGGACGTCATTCACTCCCAAGCTGGCTGCTTCGGTCACTGTGAGAGTCCCACTACTGATCAGCTATAATTAAAAAAGAGAAGATAACGTATAAAGACAGCCTAAAAAGAACTTCATGAGTTCACACTTACATATATATATATATATATATATAGGCCTCCTCTTGTGCTGATTGGTAGATTATCTGAACATGTTCCCCTTGAACTTTGTTAATACAACATCATAAATTGTTTCTGAATATTGGAAAGTAACCGACTCACCTTCTGCCTCAAGGCCTCCAGCCTCTCCTCTTGTTGTCGCTTGCGGACTCTCTCCATTCGCAAGCGCTGCTGCTCCTCCGCGTGATCCGCCAGGGTGAACTGCTGACGGGCAGCGTGCCGTCTAACCATGCCCAGTGTGCAGCCACCATGGCTGGGCACGCTGCTGAACCCTTGACAGCGCTGGAAGAGGAACACTGTAACCAGGCCAAACCGAACAGTGCCTTTAGATTGAGTATCTTTTGTCTTCTTCAGGATGGATGAAACTGAAAGTAAAGAAACAAAATGTGTTCATTATTAATTATCTTATTATGGTAGCTGTGACTGTTGCAGCTGCCACTAGAGGGCAGCTGAGTCAGATCTGTCAACAAGTAAACTGAACTCAACAATAATAAAATAGTCAAACGGTGATCTGATCATTTTTACATATGCAGTTCTAAAAGGAATGACTTTCTTCAAAAATGCAATGTTTAAATCGTCATTCTTTATTTGCAATGCCAGTTTCACTCTCTGAACGAGGATAATGGGATTAAGTTGTGCGTCAGATATGTTTGCACTGTAGCAGCCCTTAGTAAATCAACTTTATTTGCAGCACTTTACTTGCAGTTTTCACTGTGAATCAGCAATGAAAAACAATGATCCAGGCATGTCCAGGCACACAGACAGACAACATAATCTCAGAGAACTACCTGAAAAGGAAAACACTTGCAGATATGCTCTTTCCCGGTCAGGACGGTGAAACTGATTATGGCTTGATATTTAGCATGTTTACTTTGAGGGTTTGTGGGTTTAAAATTACTTAGGATGACTGTGCACAACATATTTTGATAAACAATGTTACAACTGTCTGTTTCTCTTCTTATCTAGTGTGCTGCACAATAATGCTGAGGTCAGATAACAAGACACCTCCTAATGTTTTAAACACACTAGAGGGGACAACTGTTGGTTTACAATACATGATTTTTTTTTAAAAGCACAGTTACTATGCATGACTCACTTGGTATGGGATGGCTTGAAGAGAAAGAGCCAAAAGGCCCAAAGTCCACACTATCACTTTGGGGGCTGTCTTCATCAGAGTCCCATTCAGAGTGTGATGAGGGGGATGAGGAAGAGTAAATGGCATCCTCATCTGGGAAACCATATTTTCTCTTTAAACCCACACGCTGCAATGTAGCCATGGCAATCTGTCAAATTATATTGGAGAAATTAAAGCATAATATTACATATAAATTCATAGGTCATAAAATAAGCTATCATGTCACATTTTTTGGTGTTAGTATATCAAGTCTGAAAATAGAATTTGGGTATGTTTGATAACCATTAGCATACAAATCCTAACCAGCAGCAACTGGACACCTCTCTCTTGTTCAGGCCGGTTCCAAAGATTCACATCTTCACTCTAAACGCAAGCCTGTTTAACAGGTTTCCCAATATGAAAAAACTTGACATGAACCACTACAACATCACAAGCACAGCTTTCTCAGGCAAATTGTCATTGTTTTTAATCATATTATGCAAAGCGTATGCAAGCACATAAGTGTGCATTATGCAAGCAATGATAAGTCTGGAGGGAATCAATAGTTCCTTCAATCTCGCTCTGGAGTCATTAACATTCCTCAGATGTTTTGAGTACTTCAAGAACAAAATGTTAAGACATTCAGCTCAGCTAAACTGCATGACCAAATTTGTAAACCAATACTGGTTTTTATTGCAGAATCCCACAAACATATGATAGCAATTGGCAAGCTCCATTATTTCAAAGCTTATGAATGCACTTACAAGTACACGCTTTGTGCAAAAAAGAGACAAAAGAGGAAACGTAACACAAATCACACGTCTACTGAAGTTTTTCTGCTTGAGTGGGTGTGCAATGGTAAAAAAGCATACACACAGAGAACTCTGTGTACCTCGAATAACAGAACAACACTACCTCAGTCACACCGCAGGACGGAGCAATCTGCATCACAGATCACCTGGTTCTTGTTCCAAGTGCATCCAGTCAAGCCCAACCCACACAAATGGCTCCTATGCCAAGAACAGTATGTGCCCCTGTGTATCCTGGACAACCTTAACTTTCTCTCACACCTCTTTCACACAGGTCTGGCTTTCTTTGGACAGTGTTATGTAAACACCTGCACTGTAATCCCAGATGCAACAGTCAACTATGTAAAAGGTTATAACTGCATGAGATAAATTACACTTTGTGTTGCACATAATTGTCGAAGTGATTTTTGTTCCATACAGTATGTGTGAAAGACTTTCATATTTAATTGTTGCATACCAAATTATAGGCTACCTAAAGAAATGCAGCATCAACTGGTGTGGTGACGCATGATTTACTGCTTAGTCTAGCTGTGAATAAAGTGATAAAACTCTTAAAAGTGTGCAGACACCAAGTCCATTCATTTATGCATCTTTTGTGAACAGTATGTGGTGCGGGTGTGTGTGTTTATGTAGTGTAGGAGTAGGACAGGAGGGCAGCTGATTATTACAAGAACATATTGGCCTAAGATACAATAACAAACAAAAGCCACAACTTTTCACTGAAAGCCAAACAGAATCTATAATTTCTTGGACTGGCAGTGTTATTTGGCCAGACTACAACTATACAAATGAACGTGTGAATGTTAGAATGTCTCCCTACATGTAAACAGAAGGAGGAGGTGGAGTTTGTAGACTGTGAAAGGGGAAAGTAGTAGACAGCTGTCAGGTGGAAAAATAGGTTACAGCAAACCAAAACAACCAGACATTTTCTCACCTTTGCCTTGCAAAAAACTGAGAAGACTTAAAAGCACAATGTACTTGTAAACCAGGGGGAATACAAGTAAAGTGGGACCGTTTCTGATCATTTGTCATGGGTGCTGTTTTGGCTACATCTGTGTCCTTCGAAGGAAACATTAAGTTTACCTTAAACTAGTATTGATCTATACTAGTTTAAGGTAAACTTAATGTTGTTGTTTTTTACAGGCTAAGGAATACACACATACTGATAGATTATTTAGTTAAAGTGCAGTCAAACCCTCAACTTCTTTTCTCTTAAGTTATGAGGATATGATTCCGTGACATGCAGGTGCATATTTTCCGTCAAGCCGATCAGTATCTTTAATATAACCCATGTTGCGCGCAATTGCACTAAATGTTGTTCAAACATCATAGATATTCAAAAAATTTATTATTTTTCTAATGTAGAAAACAGCTCCGTTCCACTTTCGACATTTTATGCACAAAGTTAAATAGAAAACTGAAAGGCTAAGCAAAGCGCCTGTTTAAATAGCTAGAGTTAATATAATATGCAACTTTTTTTCGCACACGAGCACTTTAATTCTACAGCTGGTGAACTTCCGTAGCGGACTTTCTCGCGGTCATGCTTTATTTATTCAGAAATGTGTGACTACATCAAAACGCGATAACAATAAATATACGTATAAATATACGTTCCAAGGTAACAGGTCGCGTAACAGACCAATTGTAGCCTATTGAGTTCACATTTTATGCAAAATATTGTGTTTCACGCGCTGCGAGAGATCTAAACAGGCACCTTGAACAAAAACAAACACTCACCCAGTAATTATGTATCTGTGTATCATGAGTGGAAGACACAACCATACGAGGCGTGAAAACGATCCCCTTTAGTCCTCGATGCACGTACAGTACAGTGAGATCAGCTGTTGGTGAATTTGTGTTCGTCAGTGGAAATCTCCCCCCACACTGCCTGACGTAAACAGTAACATGAGGACAAAAACAGCACTCATTACGCTCAGCGCGTGCACACAGACTCACTGTCGGAGTCATACTCGATGGAAATGGCAAAACAAACTTTTCAATGACGAAAAACTGCAGAAGCCGACGCCAATTCATTCTGCTGCCCATCACACGAGGATGTAGTACTGGATGTCCTTAATTTGGTTTGTGTGTCTCACACAGCAGGGCAAAAAAAAAGGCTTCTTGTACCTCAAAATGTTTTAGAGTTCTTACTTAGAGCATAAAATAATTTTGTCAAAGACTGGTTTTAAACACTTGAAAATTGAGGAAGTCAATGTTTTGTGTCGTGTTCTAAGTAGGCCTAAATGGACACTGTGAGCAATTAGGCTTATTTAGGGAACCAGCCTTTTGTGAAAAGCATAGTAAATATAATGTTGAAAAGTAGCGATTCACATTTAGAAAAGTAATGATTCTTTTAAGAAAAGTAGCGATTCACTTTAAGAAAAATATCGATTATTTTTGAAAAAGTAGTGATTCACTTTAAGATAAGTATCGATTCACTTTTAGAAAAGTAACGATTCTTTTAAGAAAAGTATCAATTCTTTTTGAGGAAAGTATCGCTTCTTTTTAAGGAAAGTAGCGATTCACTTTTAAAAAAGTTGCGATTCTTTTTAAGAAAAGTAGCTATTCTTTTTGAGGAAAGCAGCGATTCTTTTTGAAAAAGCAGTGATTCACTTTAAGAAGTATTGATTCACTTTTAGAAAAGTAGCGATTCACTTTAAAAAAAAGTATTGATTCTTTTTTAAGAAAAGTAGCGATTCCTTTTGAGGAAAGTAGCGATTCTTTTTGAAAAATGTGTAATTCACTTTAAGAAAAGTAGAGATTCACATTTAGAAAAGTAATGATTCTTTTAAGAAAAGTAGCGATTCACTTTAAGAAAAATATCGATTATTTTTGAAAAAGTAGTGATTCACTTTAAGATAAGTATCGATTCACTTTTAGAAAAGTAACGATTCTTTTAAGAAAAGTATCAATTCTTTTTGAGGAAAGTATCGCTTCTTTTTAAGGAAAGTAGCGATTCACTTTTAAAAAAGTTGCGATTCTTTTTAAGAAAAGTAGCTATTCTTTTTGAGGAAAGCAGCGATTCTTTTTGAAAAAGCAGTGATTCACTTTAAGAAGTATTGATTCACTTTTAGAAAAGTAGCGATTCACTTTAAAAAAAAGTATTGATTCTTTTTTAAGAAAAGTAGCGATTCCTTTTGAGGAAAGTAGCGATTCTTTTTGAAAAATGTGTAATTCACTTTAAGAAAAGTAGAGATTCACATTTAGAAAAGTAGCGATTCTTTTTAAGAAAAGTAGCGATTCTTTTTTAGTAAAGTAGCTATTCTTTTAGAAAAGTAACGATTCTTTTTAAGAAATGTATCAATTCTTTTTGAGGAAAGTAGCGATTCACTTTTAAAAAAGTATCGATTCTTTTTGAAAAAGTAGTGATTCACTTTAGGATAAGTATTGATTCTTTTTGAAAATGTAGTGATTCACTTTAAGATAAGTATCGATTCTTTTTTAAAAAGTAGTGATTCACTTTAAGATAAGTATCGATTCACTTTTAGAAAAGTAGCGATTCTTTTTGGAAAAGTAGCAAATCATTTAAAGAAAAGTAGCGATTCAATTTAAGAAAAGTTGCGATTCACTCTTTGAAAAGTAGCGATTCCTTTTGGAAAAGTAGCGATTCACTTTTAGAAAAGTAGCGAATCATTTAAAGAAAAGTAGCGATTCTTTTTGGAAAAGTAGCGATTCAATTTAAGAAAAGTACCAATTCACTTTTTGAAAATAGTGATTCTTTTTGGAAAAGTATCGATTCTTTTTAAGAAAAGTAGCGATTCAATTTAAGAAAAGTAGCGATTCTTTTTGGAAAAGTATCAATTCACTTTTAGAAAAGTATCGATTCTTTTTGGAAAAGTATCGATTCACTTTTAGAAAAGTAGCGAATCATTTAAAGAAAATTATCGATTCTTTTTGGAAAAGTATAGATTCTTTTTGGAAAAGTAGCGAATCATTTAAAGAAAAGTAGCAATTCACTTTTAGAAAAGTAGCGATTCTTTTTGGAAAAGTAGCGATTCTTTTAAAGAAAAGTATCGATTATTTTTGGAAAAGTATTGATTCATTTTAAGAAAAGTAGCGATTCAATTTAAGAAAAGTAGTGATTCAATTTAAGAAAAGTAGCGATTCACTTTTAGAAAAGTAGCGTATCTTTTTGGAAAAGTATCGATTCGCTTTTAGAAAAGTAGCAATTCTTTTTGGAAAAGTAGCGAATCATTTAAAGAAAAGTAGCCGTTCTTTTTGGAAAAGTAGCGATTCTTTTTGGAAAAGTAGTGATTCACTTTTAGAAAAGTAGCGATAGAAAAGTAGCAATTCTTTTTGGAAAAGTAGCGAATCATTTAAAGAAAAGTAGCGATTCTTTTAATGAAAAGTAGCGAATCTTTTTGGAAAAGTATCGATTCACTTTTAGAAAAGTAGCAATTCTTTTTGGAAAAGTATCGATTCTTTTAAAGAAAAGTATCGATTCTTTTTGGAAAAGTATCGATTCTTTTTGGAAAAGTATCGATTCTTTTTGGAAAAGTATCGATTCATTTTAAGAAAAGTACCGATTCAATTTAAGAAAAGTAGTGATTCACTTTTAGAAAAGTAGCGTATCTTTTTGGAAAAGTATCTATTCGCTTTTAGAAAAGTAGCAATTCTTTTTGGAAAAGTAGCGAATCATTTAAAGAAATGTAGCCGTTCTTTTTGGAAAAGTAGCGATTCTTTTTGGAAAAGTAGCGATTCACTTTTAGAAAAGTAGCGATTCTTTTTGGAAAAGTATCGATTCACTTTTAGAAAAGTAGCAATTCTTTTTGGAAAAGTAGCGAATCATTTAAAGAAAAATAGAGATTCTTTTAATGAAAAGTAGCGATTTACTTTAAAAAAGTATCGATTCATTTTAAGAAAAGTATCACTTCTTTTTGAGGAAAGTAGCGATTCATTTTGAAGAAAGTAGCGATTCTTTTTGAAAAAGTAGTGATTCTTTTTGAGGAAAGTAGCAATTCTTTTTGAAAAAGTATCGATTAATTTTAAGAAAAGTATCGATTAATTTTAAGAAAAGTATCAATTCACTTTTAGAAAAGTAGCGATTCTTACAAACCCCATCTAGCGGATCATTAAAATCTCTCTGGGAGCAGGACTTAAGTATTTTGTTAGAAGATGAAACCTGGGACACTATCTTAAAAAGGATACATTCTTCTTCAGTTAGCTAGGCATAGGCTTATTCAATTTAAGGTAGTGCATCGTATTCATTGGTCTAGGGTGCAACTCAGCAAGATATTTCCTGAATTAGACCCCACCTGCCCACGCTGTGTTGTGGAGCCAGCCTCTCTGTTTCATTCTTTTTGGTCCTGTCCTAAGTTATTAAGGTTTTGGGGGGGAATTTTTTGTTGTCTCTCAGAAATTCTTACCACAGTAATAGACCCCAACCCATTGACAGCTTTATTTGGGGTTCTTCCGGAAAATGTTAATCTTACATCTTTAGAAATGGACAATATTGCACCTTGCACATTGTTGGCTAGACGGCTTATACTAATTAATTGGAAGCTGCCATCTCCTCCGACCTACCGTCAGTGGGTTTTTGACCTACTTTTTTCCCTCAAACTTGAAAAGATTAAATTTGGAGTTAGAATGAAACCCGATCTTTTCTTGAAATCTTGGAGCCCTTTTTTAGATTATTTTAAGGAGATGAGCTCTGGATAAACCCTTTTATTTTTCTCCCTCTTGTTTATTTAGTTGTTTATATGTATGCATTATGTTACTGTGATTATATGTTCATCCGCATTTGAGCATTTATTATGTTTGTTTATTTTTTCCCTTTATTTAATTATGTAACAATCTGATGCTTGTACTGTGCTTGAGATGCTTTTCTTAATAAAATAAATAAATAAATCTAAAAAAAAAGAAAGAAAGAAATAGAAAAGTAGCGATTCTTTTTGGAAAAGTAGCGAATCATTTAAAGAAAAGTAGCAATTCTTTTAATGAAAAGAAGTGATTCTTTTTAAGAAAGTATCGATTCATTTTAGGGAAAGTTTCGATTCATTTTAGGAAAAGTATAGATTTGTTTTTAGAAAAGTAACGATTCTTTTTTAATTAACTAATCAATTCATTCTGATGGATGTAGTTATAAGTTTTGAATATACGTTTGTATAAAATGGAAATATTGTTACACTATAAGGGGTAAGTTGTCAAAATGAAACCTGCCACATAAGCTTTTTTTCAGCAGAATTTATACAGTGAAACAATTCCAAAACGCAAAACAATTAGTGAAACAGTGAAAAAGGCAAAATACAACATATCGTTAGCCTCATAGCATAATTGCCTAAGTCATTTTGTGTTTTTTCTTGTTTTCCAAAGACATTGAAATATGACTTAGGCAATTATGCTATGAGGCTAACACTGTTCTGACCAAGAAATATTGTAATTTACAAATATAAATTTATCACATTTAAAATTTGACAACTTGCCCCAGACTGACATTTACAAGAAATTGCCTTAATGCCACAGAAAACACACCTTACAGTTAATGAGTTGTCTTTTTTACTTGCCCCGTTCTCTCTTATATTTATTTAGCCCGATGCTTTCTGCAAATGGATTAATGGATTTTCTCTATTATTTTCTCTAATTAAGTCTGTGCTGATGAAGAAAAGAATGGCAGTACAGGGGTCAGACAAAAGGCAGAGCAGAAAAAAACATAAAGACTGCTGCTTCAGCCACTCAGCCAATCACTAGAGAAACTCTCCCTGGATACCAAAGAGCCTCTCCATAGCAATGACACTGTGAAACATCCATCACAGGAGACTTGGGCATCATGGATTCAGAGGCAGATGGTAACATATCTCTGCCTCCCTCTCACTCTTTCTTTCTTTCTTTCTTTCTCCTGCTCGCACACACATAACACTGACTGTATCACCTCAATGATTTCCCATCTGTTTGGTAGTGAAACCACAGGGCACATAT